GAACATATATTGCGTTGGTTTCTAGTTTCAGTTTCAAACAACTAATTAATTGACAAAATTCTTATCGATTTTTTTCGTGAGTGCTTGCATGCAGTTGTGTACGTACTACGTATATTTTCAAAATGTGCAAAATTTTCAAAGTTTTCAGGTTATGATGAAAGGTTATGAAAGCTAGTTTCTGCGTGTTTCAAAATTTTTTTTTATCTAAAACTTGATACCTTCTGTTTATAAAATTCTTGATAATTTCCTTATCTCTGTGTCTACTTTAGTCTTATCAACCATAATATATATGCACAATTTCTGCATTTATGCAAACTATTGCACTTAACTGTAAGACAAGAATTATGCGACCTTTAAAACTTCCTGCACCCTTTATTCAATTTATACAATTTATATTCTTTTGTGAGTTCTTTCAGGGACTGTCGTAATGCCATGTGACGGTAACCCCTCTAAAGCTCTGTATGATTAAGAACGGCTGAGATATCAATCATCTTCTCATTGAAAGTGGATTTTTTAAACTTATGGTTTCTCTAAAAAGTACCTTGCGCGTTGCTACTTCAGAAACAATATGAAGGAAATTGTCGCAATTAAAGCAATCTAGAAAAACGAAGATATTTTCTAAATTATTGATCAGATAAAGGATTAATTGAATTCTAATGTGGTCACAAAATAAAGAGTAGGACACGAAAAGCAAACTTATATTTTAAAAGTAAAAAAAATACAACACATTGTTATCTTGAATGAATCAATGTTTCTTATTCTGCTATCACATAGTAGAGAAAAATGTTTATGTCTAAAAAATTAAGAATCTAATTATATCAGTCTAATAAGAAAAATCTACCGATATCTGTATTAGAAAAAATCTAAAAATCTATTTCAGATATATCTGTGACAAGGAAAAAATAAGCCTTACAAAAAGATACACATAGAATCTATTACATTACTCAAATCTAAATTTATGTTTATCTGTATTAAAGGGAGTGTTCGCGAAAACTGAAAGGGGGTATTATGAGGGTATTTTTCGCGAACACTCCCTTTAAGAAAATCTAGATAGCCAACGGAAAAAGCTTATCTATTTTTGTGTGTCTGTATCAAGAATCTTTTATGCTTATCTGTATCTGAAATCTATTTGTGTGTCTGTATCAAGAATCTATATGCTGTTCTATATCTGAAATATATATGTGTATCTGTATCAAGAATCGTTAAGCTTATCTGTATCTGAAATCTATATGTATATCTGTATATATAAATCTATACGTCTATTTATTTCACATTCTATGTGTATTAAGAATCGTTATGCTAATCTGTGTCGGAAATCTATATATGGGTATCCGTATCTGTAAATCTATAAGTGTGTATCTTTATCACATTCTATATGAATATCAATACTGTGTATCTGTACCAAGAATCCATGTTTTTATATATCTGCATTTGTGTATCTGTATCAAGAATTCATGTGTGTAGATCTGGATTTGTGTATATATATCTGTATCAAAAATCTATGTGTATATGCATCTGTATCAAGAATCCTAATTATTCCAAGTTATTACAAAGTAAATACAATAAATACTCAGATATTTGAAACGATGGGAACTGGGTGCTCGTTCGTACTTTTGAGACCCACCACTTCCTTACATGTCCAATTATTCCTACTATATTCTATGCCCTGTAGGCCTGTGTACCATTAATTAATACTCTACTTGAAGCCCCCCCCCCTCACCTTCATCTGATAAAATTATGCAAAAATCGATGACGATATACAGGACTTTACAAAAAACTACTGATTGTGTTCATAGAAAATCTATAAAGAAAATAGATACAAATTGTTAGGCTATTTCAGTTTATGCTGAAATACCAGGTGGTGAGAGGATTATTTTAAATGTCGTCTTTGTAAAAGTGCAGCTTCGTACTTCTTCAAACTCAGACAAGAAAAGGGGAGAATGTTAATATTTTTTGGACGAATGGGGGGGGGGGGAGGAGCGATGGGTTTAGGATTCTTTATATTTTTTTCAATGGGTGGGGGTTGAAATTACGTCTTATATAAGATAAGTTGGGAAAGGGGAGGGGGGGTACTAGAGTTTTGAAAGTTGAGATTGAGAGGGGATATTATATATACATAGTTACAGCATGTCTGCAGCTTCAGACTCAGACATGAACAAAGAAAGGGAGATACAAAGTAATACAAACAAAGAACACCATTTTCTCTTTTCAATCTGATTTGATCTTAAAACTAGTTTGTCTCTGAGCCCGGCATATATTTGCTTGGATCTGTGTGTAGAAAGAAACGGGTTGAGACAACTTGCAGGACTTGCAGTCCTCGGGCTGGGCTGCCTGAAGACGCAGTCTAGCTAAGGCAGTCCGGGTCATAAAGTTTGATAGAGACTGGCGGATTCTCCCTCTACATTGTCGAGTCAAACTTCAGAAAAAATATAAATAGTTAGACATATAGATTTTATTGTAAAAACAGTTAAATGTAGATTGATCACAAAAATCAAGAAAATTTCGGACACTAAATAATATTTTGTGCGGATGCCACAACTTATCATTTTTGTTTTTCAAAGATACGGCCAAAGGAAATGAGTCTTTGCCACAAACTCTGATTTTCTAATCACTATATCTTTGGAACCAAATGTTGTAGACCTTAGATATTTCAAACTATGAATTCTGTTAAATCAAATAATCAGAGTTTGAAATATCAAAGGTTTACAACATCGGGTTCAAAGATATATTGGGGTTTAAATATTTGATTTTGTTAAAAAGATTCAATTCCTTTCAGGAATATATTTTGAACACTTCAGAAAATTAAAAATTTCTTGGAATAAATTTTCACCAAACCCACATACATACATGTTAGTTTGACGATTGTATACTTTGTACATCAATTAACTGTTTTTAGCTCAGCCAGGTAACAAAAGTGAGGAATTTCCTCAAATTATCAAACCTTCTTGACTTGCTTTGGTCAATTTCTGGAGAAAAGGTTCTTGTGGCAGCATTTTGCCCCTTCCAGAAATGTTCACAACAAATTTGCCAGTCTCCAAACACTTGGAAAATATCAAACTATTATTCTCAATTATTTTGACATGGTCAGCTTACATACTGAGCAGGGGTGGATACAGGGGGGGTGGCAGGACCTACTGGGACCTTCACACCCCCCTGACGGATTCAGGGGAGGCGTAGCCACCCCCCTGAGATTTCAGAATAGCTCCTCAATAGCACTTAAGGGAAAGAAAACCTAGTACAAAACAGGAATAATATCTATCTGAAACAAAATTTTTGCCTGCGGCATGTCTTTTTTCCGAATAAAATCTAGCACCCCCCTTAAATCCTGTATCCGCCCCTGATACAGAAACTTAAGATTGTTTGGACAAACTTTAAAAAAAGCATAGTTTTTTTTATGAACTTTCCAAAAGATTTTGAAACAAGAATTGTTTTTTTACTGGACAAACAATTTTCGTGTAGGATTATATTACAATAGACAGTAGAATGTATTTCCGCAACCTAAAACTGAACTTACTTTTGAAACAATGTATCTCTCTGTTACAAAGTTCATGTTTACTGCAGTACACATTTTTTGCTCCAAATTTTTTACATAAAAAATCTTAAACCGAATTCTGAGAAAATCAATGGAAATATTTTTAACTTTTTTGAGGGCAACATATCTAGTTTTTTTCCCTGCAACTAAAATTTTCAAAATTTTGTCTAAACCTTTTCCATATTTTTCTATTTTTTTTTGGCTTTTATAAATGGGGGGGAAGGTGTTTTCCATCCCTCAATCCCTCTATAATTTTGCCCTTAGAGATGAGATAGGGGACTGTAATACATGACCCAATTCAAACTTTTCAAGTTTATTTCTTTAAAAAAATTAAACCTGTAACTTTAATGGTCTAACTTTTTTACAAATATTTAAATTTGACACATTTTAGATCTAATTCTATACACATTTTAGATCTAATTTGACACATTTTAGATCTGTAGCTCAAACGATAAAAAAGTTAAAAAACCATTTTTGATTTTTTTTTTTTTAATATCTTAGTTCTACAATATTGGTTTGCAAAAATATGAGATAATAGAAAATCAGAGTTTGTTACAAGAACTCAGTTCCTTGGCTGATTAAAAAGTTAATTTTCAGATCAAAACATACAAAATATTATTAGGATTAAATTTGGTCACTTAAACCAGACAAATATTAATTCATATATATATATACATTGTTGTTCAAAGAATTTTGACAACTGAGGATCGTCATGAGACGTGAAACATTATGTTTAGTATAATTATTTTTTAATAAGATGTGAAGTTTAAAAACTGAATTATATATATATATATATATATATATATACTAGGCTTTTTGGGCACTTCGTGCCCATCTTTTATTTCAACTTTTAATCGTGGCTTTATCTGTGAGGAACTTCTCTTTGTACAGTATAAAACAAAACAAAATTTTTTTTTTTTGCAGATTTCAAATATTTTTTCGCGCATTCTCAAAATTTTACAAAAATAAAAAACTTTTAAACACGAATTTTTTAAATTTTGATCATTTATAAACCTCCCCATGGGTCACTTGAGGTCCCACACAAAAGGGCCTGATCGGTTCTGCCGTTTTGACGTTTATTGGATACAAACAAACAGACACCCAAACAAGCTAAGTTTATAGATATTTGATTTTAATATTCTAGATTCAAACATGTAATGTTCAAAAAATATAAACCGCAATCCTCTTGACTCTAAGCAGTGCAAGCGGGAGACTGACTAAGCATATTTCCGTGGCCGGGAACTGCAAAAGTTTGCAGAGTTTAGACATTTTCTGGTCTCTTTTTTAAACATCTAATCTAAATTTTAAAATTTTCGTCGTAAAAACGGTTTTATACTTTACAGGCTTTAAAAAGTATTTATTTTCAAAGTACGAAAAATACTCCTTTCAAAATTCTGAACCACGCTCTTTGTTCCATTTGCTAATGCAAAATTGAGTTGAAGGAATTGCACGGTACGGGCCGGTTTCCACCGTACTGGCACGTCGCTGCTCTTAGGATCAAATATATTTCTACTATAGCCTTAGCAGTGAACAATACACAGCTCGAAAATTGTGAGAAAATAATGAAGGATTCACCTTCAGAAAAACGTAAGTTGATTAATTTTTTTAACTATGTTTTTTATGGATCATTAATGTTTAAAATGTGGATTTGTCTGTTGAATATAATGTGAAATTATAACGATTCAAGTAGATATTTTGTGCAGTAATATACAACTAAGCTAAATTTTCCACAAGTCAAAGGATCTAAAGACAGACCTAGTATTAGGGACCAGGGACACTACACACAATATAAACATTTCAGAATTAACTATTTAAAAAAATATGATTTAATGTAGAAGTTGTCTTTTTTAATCTGATCATTTAATGTTCGAGTATACATATTTAGTAATAGTTCTGTAAAAATCAACATAACTTGTTATTTTTACATTTAATTAAATCATGCAATTTGTGACTATGACGATACAATCTTGATGAAAGTATTATTACAGTTTTGCAAAAGAGTATTTGCCATTGAGGCATGCTATTAAACTTTTTAAAGCTTTTTAACCATGTTGAATTTATCAGATTTAAATTGCAAAAACAACTTAGCTTGTAATTACTGGGAATTACTCACAAAACTTTTGAACCAGTGCCATGCAATTTATTAGCTTTATAATAATAACTTTTGAACAGAAATAATTTTACTTAATTGTCAATTTGAGGAGAATTTGATTAAAATGTTGGTATTAAAGTTGTTGTTTGATATAACCAACTATTAGAATATCGGATAACTTCCTAGAGAACGATTTTTGGACCTCCCTTATTCAGATAAGAATATTATTGCTTTTAAAAAATAAGGTGAATTATTTTTTCAATTGTATACTTTCGCCGGCCCATTTGTTACTCCTTTTATATAAAACAATGACTAATTCCTATATTATCAAATTCTTTAATCATATTATCGAATTTTGTAATGGACAATTCCTTCAAAATTTCGGAAGGAGATTTTTTGTTTTTATTAAGAATCACAGTCAGCTAATACCAAAACAACAATATATTTACCTTATAAAAAAGCGCGTTGATATCTAAATTCTACACCTTGTTGAGAATCTCTGATGGCAATTCTTTAATGAAAATTCACTTAAAATTACGTTGATATTCATTAGTTATATTGGTTAAGTTCAAATCTTATTACAAAGATATTTCAAATCTTAAATTACAAAATGAAATTCTAACATTTTTTCATCTAGCCCTGATAAAGTATATACGCCCTATGGAAACATAATACATAAAATATTTATAAATTACGTGATGTGGGGTTTTCTGGTCACGATTTTAGGTTCAATTGTTTGATAAATTCTGAGATCTGATATTCACATTTTACGGTTTCAGTTCTCGTCAATTCAACTTGCATGAGTTGTATCTCCAAGATGGTTTCTAAACATTTAAGATTTTTTATTCTAAACACCTTAAAGGGACATAAACCGTTATTTCAATCGACTCTTAACTGGCGAAGTGACATGTACGATCCACATAGGTATACGTTTTTAGGTATACGCTTTGTCTGATCAAGTATATGAATTAAATACCTTAGTTGATATCTCAAACAGTAGAGAAAAAGGTATTCACACTTGCGCATTTCTTCTTCAGAAACAATCGAGAAATTATTAGAATTAGGCAGTTTTTAAGCCTGAAAAATTACGGTATCTCTCATATTATATGTAAATCAGATTCAGGTTTTAAATTGCCGTTGTGAATTGAGCATGCTAATTAAATTTAAATTACTACGACTCTCCCTTTCTGAAAAATCTGGTATAAGGTTATAATATTTCATAATTATTTACTACTAGCTTGGGAACCCAGCGCTGCCAAGGTTACTAAAAGTTACTTCCACCGTTTACCCGCACTTGAACGATTTTTACCAGGAAACTAAAGGAATTGAGTTTTTGCCACAAACTCTGATTTTCTAATTCCTATACCTTTCCAACCCGTTTTCTAAACCTTTGATATTTCAAACTATTAATTCTGTTTGATCAAATAGTCTAAGTTTGAAATATCAATAATCATCAGGTTGCATAGATATAGAGGTTAGAAAATGCGAGTTTGAGGCAAAAACTCAATTACTTTTCGCTATTAAAGTCGACCCACTCAACGTAGTATCTTAAAACCAAACTAAGAACATTCCTATGGGCCTCCCGAGTTCCCCAATTAATGTTAGAGGCAAATCGGTCTAGAGGTTCCTGAGTTAGGATCGGTAAAACAAACAGAGATTATAACTTCATATACACAGGGATATGAAAACATCTACAATTCATATGGAGACTTTTGTTAGTTAAAGACATTAAAGCAGTTAATATAAATAAAAATAAAAATAAGATTTAGCTAGGTTCAACTAATTCTTGATTTAACTATTTTTTGATTCAACCATTTCTAGATTTAACTATTTCTTGATTTTTCTATTTCTAGAATCAACTATTTCTAGAATTAACTTTTACTAGATTCAACTATTTCTATATTCAACTATTTCTATATTCAACTATTTCTAGATTTAACTATTTCTAGATTCAACTATTTCTAGATTGAACTATTTCTAGATTGAACTATTTCTAGATTAAACTATTTCTAGATTGAACTATTTCTGGTTTCAATTTTATTTCTAAATTCAACTTTTTCTAGATTCAACAAATTCTCTATTAAACTATTTCTAGAATTAACTATTTCTCGATTCAATTATTTCTTGATCTGATTTCCTTTAGCAATTGATATTTCATTAAAAGGAATATTTCATGAAAGGAATATTTCATGAAAGGAATATTTAATTAAAGGAATATTTCATTAAAGGAATATTTCATTAAAGGAATATTTCATGAAAGGAATATTTCATGAAAGGAATATTTCATTAAAGGAATATTTCATTAAAGGAATATTTCATTAAAAGAATATTTCATTAAAGGAATATTTCATTAAAGGAATATTTCATGAAAGGAATATTTCATGAAAGGAATATTTCATTAAAGAAATATTTCATTAAAGGAATATTTCATTAAAGGAATATTTCATGAAAGGAATATTTCATTAAAGGAATATTTCATTAAAGGAATATGTCATTAAAGGAATATTTCATTAAAGGAATATTTCATTAAAGGAATATTTTATGAAAGGAATATTTCATGAAAGGAATATTTCATTTAAGAAATATTTCATTAAAGGAATATTTCATTAAAGGAATATTTCATTAAAGGAATATTTCATTAAAGGAATATTTCATGAAAGGAATATTTCATAAAAGGAATATTTCATTAAAGGAATATTTCATTAAAGGAATATTTCATTAAAGGAATATTTCATGAAAGGAATATTTCATAGATGCAATATTTTAAAAATTGAATATTTCAAAAATGAAATTTTTTTTAGATCGAAAATTTAATGATACAAACATTTCATGGCGTATGAAATAATTTCTATGAATTTAATTTAGTTTAGATATGAAATGCTGCGTCTATGAAGTGTCCTATGTCCTATTTTTAGATGTCTTTTTATGAAATATCCTTGTTTAAAATGTTCCAACATTATTTAGCATACTTTAATATCTTGATCTTGAATCAAGTTTTTCAACATTTGCGGTCACTAACTACCAAATTATAAAAAAGAAAATATATTTTCAAAATCGTTTTTTTATGTTTTGGTGTGTAAAGCAAAACGTAAAGAAGATTTTTTTTCAAATACGGGACACGATGTTTAATACAGGACACGATGTTTAATACAGGACACGATGTTTAATACAGGACACGATGTTTAATATCCCAAGAAAAGTTGATTTAATTTTCAAGACTGGGTCAACTGTAAAGTGTCTCAACGCCTTGACTTTAGATTATATCTTTCTAATTGTTTTATCTTAAGCTTAAAGGAAATAATAGTCAAACTTCTCATCGGTTTTTGCGTAAGTGATAATGTGATAAACCAAACTTTTATTCACGCGAATACTTTTCTGATATCAGCTGTTTACAAATCCAGGTCTCAAAAGGACAGAAATTGGCATGATTTTACACCGGTATATATGTCACGAATAAAAAGGGTTGAATTGGCTCTAAATGGATGGCAACGATATATTTTAGTACTGAAGAAACTATAAAGTTGGTATGTCCAGAAAACACACATGTTCTGTAGAATTAATGGGCCGTCCGAAAATAATACAAAAAAATGTTTTCAAACAAAAAATGCTAATTTTTTTATATAAGTGAAAGTCAATATGATTTTCAAAAAGTATTTAAAAAAATGAATGATAATAATAAAAATAATAATAATAATAATATTCATAAAAATCTTGCAAACTATTTCTCTCTAGAAACATATTTTTTTTATATATTTTTAAACAGCTTTATGATCCATAATTTAAATTGCAGCTGTCAAATGTTATCTACGTTAATCTTTATAAAGGATGAATAAATTCAAGAAATTCATTTCTATTTTTTAATCTAATTTTTTATATCAATTTATTTGAAATAAGGTAAAATAAGTATTAAATTTGTATTCCCATCCTAAAGGATTAATTTAGTGTAAGATTTAACAACTTATAGTTTGCAAATAGATAAATAAAGATTTTATTCAATTTTGATGGAATTTATTACACCTAATATTTCCCGTTGTAGGCAAAGAGAATATATATATTCTATTCTCTATGGTTGTAGGGTGACTTTATTGTCCTACAACAGGGAGAAAAAGCAACTTTTTCACCCTGCTATTAAAATTTCAAACTTCATACCTAATTTGTCTCATTGTAGGGTTATAAAGTTACTTAATTACCCTAGAACAGGGTGATTAGGTAACTTTATCGACCTGCTTTAAATAATTTGAGTAAAACTGAATAAAATTAAATATGTTATTGAAATGGGTATCGTGTTAAAAAATGTTTTTCGCACTTCACAAAATCCATTACAATGACATAAATAGATATAAACTTTCTCTGAAAGTATTTCTTTCAGGCCTACATGCATGTACCTTAAACTGATCATATCGTACACCCTTAAGTCCGCAAGATTTAGAAATATTTGGCACTGAAATTTTAGCAACCTTGCTTCCGTCTTTTAGTCCTAGTTTTTGCATTACTG